TTTTTTTTTTTTTTTTTTTTTGAAGGGGGTAAAGCGAACTGAAAATTTGGATTTGAGAACTGAATGGGAGTTAGTGAGAGGAAAAAGGGAGGGTGATGAGCAAGTCTTTTAAAGATTCTCTCAAAGCGCTTGAAGCTGATATTCAACATGCCAATACCCTGTAATATTTTATTTATTTTTTCCCTATAATATTCGGACTTTCTGCAAAGTTTTTGCTGTGCATTCTGTTTTCTAGTGTGTGTGTGTGTGTGTGAGGTTGTAGTGCTCGTAAAGTTTTGATTTTCATAGTTTATTTTGATATTCTTCTGTTTTTAGGTGGATAATTTGTGGGCAACTGATGAATAATTTGATATTGGTCGTTCATTCTCTTCAACTTTCTGTTAATGTTGAGAATAATATTAGATGGATTAAGGTGGTTTGTTCTAAGCTTCAAATCCATAACTTAACAGCACCATCATAAACATGCGCAGGCTCGATTACTCGATTGGTTAATGAGTGCATTCTCGAGTGAGAATGGTATTTATAGTTTTTGGATGTTGATCCTCTTAGATGTCAAGACTGTGGTTTCCATAATCAAACACAAAAACATGTCAAAAACTCCTTTCCATTTTTTCTCGTTTATTTATGTTATAATGGAAAAAAAAGATTGAAGAAGGTAGCTGTGAACTGTGACTGAAGGGCTTAATTCACACCTTTCACCGCCAATCATTTGGTGAATTTGGCACATTGTGTCTTACATTGTGTTCCTAATGAGATAAACAATGTGCATTATAACGATTTTTTCCGTTCTTTTTTCTCCATTTTTTTGATATTGTCTTTGATTATATAACAGTGCATCCGGTTATCCGAGAGAATGTGATGGCGCGTGGCTTCAGATGAGACTATCATACAGCCCGTGTGCCCATATTTTCCTCTTCCTTTTCCAGTGGACTGAGTGTCGTCTTGCTGGTGCACTCGGTCTCATTCGTATCCTTATTTATAAGGTGGGCCTTCAATAAGCCTTTTCCTTCTTCTCGGTGTAAAGTTTAAACTTGCATTGGTTTTCTGATTAATGTTTAGGTGTTGAAAGTGTAGGCGTACGAAGACGGCAAAACGACCATGTTTGTACATGAAAGGAAAGCTAGCATAAAAGAGTTCTATGGTGAGTAGACTAGACTTCAAAATTTCCCCTTTCTTGCTCTTTTTTTTTTTTTTTTTTCAGGTACTATACTTTTTTTTGGGTATTGCAACTTACAGTATTTTTCGTGGTAATATGTAATCTGAACTTAATGAATATTCATAAATTGCATGCTAACTATACACTCGGATGACCGTATTGTCAAGAAGTAGGTGACTGTTTCAATTTATGAATGTTAATGAAATTCATGTGACATTTTACAACGAAAAATACTGTAGGTTGCAAATTCCAAAAATATAACAGTACATGTTAGAACCATTACCCTTTTCTTTTCCGTCTACGTTTAGTTGCTATCATTTAGAAGTTCTTTGAGGTTAGAATCACAAAAAAAGTGCAAGCTAGTTTATCTTAATCAAAGGGAAGACTCGATTGCTTTTCGACATCACATATATACTCTGTTGGCATTTGTTTCGGTTCGATTCTATATCTCCCATTTTTTGAATTCTTATAACCACAAATTGAGTGGGGGTATCCAAATTTCGACCACAAATTTTTGAAAGCACATATATTCTATGTGTATTCTTATAATTTGCACACTCGCCTACATCTTAACCTTACACGTGTCCAAAATTTTTGGATGATCGTAAAGTCGAGAAGTAGGTGAGTGTTCAAATTATGTATGTCAATGAAATTTGAGTTGCATTTTGCAACGAAAAATTCTGTAAGTTACAAATCCCAAATATATGTTAGAACCAATATTTTACCCTTTTTTTTCAGTTTACTTTTAGTTGCTACTTGCTATGATTTAGAAGTTCTTTGATGTTAGATCACAATAAAAGTGCAAGCTAGTTTATCCTAATTAAAGAAGACCCGATTGCTTTTCGAAATCACATATATACTCTGTAGGCATTTGTTTCAGTATGATCCTGTATCTCCCATTTTGTGTATTCTTATAACCACAACTTGAGTGGGGGTATCTAATAAATTTTGGACCAAAAACCGAATGCTTTTTTTTCTTTTGGAGAAACTCGATGGATTAGTTCTGTAATTCGCGTGATTAATAAAACACGAAGAATGGATCTCAAAATGTGATATTTACTTTGGACAGGAGTGATATTTCCCTCTTTGCTGCAACTCCATGGCGGAATAACTGATGCGGATGAGAGAAAACAGAGAGAGATTTGCGCAACAAAATATAGAAGAAAAGACGAGATTACGATTAAGGGCAAGAAGCTGTCTGAAATCGAAATCGAAAGGGAGGAAGAATGTGGGATTTGCATGGAAATGAACACTAAGGTTGTTTTGCCCACTTGCAATCATTCTTTATGCATGAAGTGCTACAAGGATTGGTAATTCAGCTAATGATTCTCTTCAATTTACATAAAATTTTGTTTTTAAGGATATATTTCTTGAAAAAAAAAAGCCGATTAGTTTGTTTTGTCTTGGGTTGCAAACGAACTGAGCGACTCACGAGCGCTTGACTCAAAGCTCGGCTCGAGCTTGACCAAACTCGAGCTAAGCACGAGTGGCTCGAGATATGTAGTGAATTACTAAAACACCATTTATATATAAATATACAATATTTTATATATGTACTTAATGGTAATTTTACTTGAAATTTGATTTGAATTCAAGCCGAGCTCGAGGCGATTGTCTTCTTTTGTCGACGATCTCAAGCGTCATTAGGGCTGCAAACGAGTCGAGTCGGATCGAGCATTGGCCTTATTGAGCAGGATTGACTTTTTTTTTTCTAGTTGCTCGAGCTCTTCGAGCTCGATTTTTTAGGCTCAAGCTCGACTCAATAAAAAATTACAATAGCTCGAGCTCGACTCGAAACCAAAATGCTCGAGCTCGGCTTGAGTTCGGTTCGAAAATTTTTAAGTGGAAAGATGAAATTACCATTAAGGACCTAGGCTAACATATATATAAGGAGTATTTTAGTAATTTAACATGTATATCGAGCCGATCAACGAGCTGCTCGACAAGGCAAAATATGGTCTCGAGCTCGACTCGAGATCGTGCTCGAGACGCTCGAGTTGAGCTTTGACTCAAGCGCTCGCGAGCGGCTTGCGAGCCGCTCAATTCGTTTGCAGCCTTAAGCGTCATAAATCAATCTCGACTAGCTCGAGCATGTAAAAAAAAAAAAAAAAATCAATTTTGCTCGATAAGGACAATACTTGACTCGGCTTAGCTTGTTTGCAGCCCTGAGTCTTGCCTAATACCACGTGTTTATGTTCTTACAGGCGATTGAGATCTCAGTTGTGCCCGTTTTGTCGAGACAGTCTCAAGAGGGTTCGTTCGGGGGAGCTATGGATATACACTAGCAAATGTGACATTATCGACTTATCAACCTTTGAACGTGAGAACCTTAAGAGACTTTTCATGTATGTCGACAAATTGCCGGTTGTCGTCCCAGATGCAATGCTGGTATCTCATGATCCTCGCATTTGATGATTTATATTATATTTATTATTTTTATTTTACATATTTTGTACAGAGAATGTCATTTTTTTTTCTTATATAATTCTGATTGCAAGCATATACTTTCTTCGTTTGTAATTTGTACATACTTCCTCCTATTTTTTTTAAATGCCATTCTAGCTTTATCAATTATTTGCTAAATAAATGTCGTTTTGGATCTTTTGTACATATTTTTCATTATTACCCTTATTTAACTAATAAATAAACTACGTCTTTTCATATTCACTCTTCACTTTTTTTTCAAAACATTCATCTTTATCTTCATTAAATAAGGTTATTATTGACAAAAAAAATATTATTAATTAATGTACAACTTCTCAAAACGACATTTATTAAAAATAGGAGGTAATATATATTTGGCTTGTTGAGGGAGCTCCTTCAGTATTTATAAATTTACAGCGGTAAAAAAAATCTGATTCATAAAGTTAGATATTGCTGGGTATAGTTGCAAAATCAGGATTGCTATTAATTATTATTTAATATCAAATAATTATTATCTTACAAATTTTTGTATGAATTGGTCTATCTGTTATGTGGATCAACTTTTCATATTATTTGAATAAAAATTAATATTTAAATGTCACATACTTATTTATGTTCTTTTTTAAAGTGTGCATATATACAAAAAATCATATTTAAATGTCACATATTTATGTTCATTAAAAAAAGCACGCCGGTCTAATAGTTATGCCGACGGCCGACCTAACCTACGAGTAATGGCTGTTTTTATTTATCTACACGCCGGTCTTAGTTTGTTTTTTGTGCTTGTGCTTATATTGTGTAGGTTGTGTTTTTGGTCGATCATTTAACCTCTGTGAGTCCGAGTGTCATCTTATTATCCTATTGGGATCGAACATTCGGATATTACTCCTCAAAAAAAAAAATAATAATAATTAAAGAAATATCAAAGAATGTATTTGTTTTTCTATTTTTCCAAAATTGTAACTTTTTTTTTTCAAAATTGCAACTTTACCTCCAATAGATAGACACAGCTAGCAAAGAATGACACAGCTTATATCACAATTCACTGCCCAGCTGCTGATATATTAACTGGATTTTAACCGAGTCGACCAAGCGAGTTGCCCAAATATTTAACAACGGTCATATTGCCCTGTGAGGAGCTACATAAACACATAACCTACAGTATGTTTTGTTCCATTACATGTTCCAAACAAACGGGAATAAAAAACATTTTTTTTAATATACCCGAGTCAGAATACTCCATAAGCCTTGAACCCGATACTTCAACCTCACTCATCGTCCTCGTCATCATCCTCGTCATCATCATCCTCGTCCTCGTCATCGTCATCGTCATCGTCATCCCCCGCTTCCTGCACGTTACAGAATGCTAGATCGTCACTCAAATTGAAAGCAGCAAAAGCCTAATTAGCCGCACACATGTTATAAAGATACAAAATGCTCGATAAACTAAAACATTCTTATAATGTCAGAAGTCACGAGGGCCACTGAAAACACAAAAAACCAAGTAGGATAAAATGCAATTTTGGTCCTGAAGATAACAATTTAGGTCCTAATGTAACATATAGCAAATTAAGTTCTGTAATTTAATATTTTGTTGCAATATCAGTACTCAAAATTTCCCGATTTGAAGGTGAAAATGATTGAAATTGCAACAAAATTCTAAATTGCATGACTTAAATTACGAATTAAAGTCCATCAAAATATATAATTGGGAATTTTGACAGCCAGAGGACAAAAATTGCAGTTAAATTTTAGATTGCACGATATAAAATGTTAAATGTCACTCCAGTAGGACCAAATTGCTACATTCATAATTTAGCCAAACCCGTAGAAAGACAAACTTAGAAAGATGACATTAATACTGAATCTAATTAACCGCCACAGATTGTGAAAATCTTCACATGCTAACACACGAAAAAATTTCCGTACAACAGTAGACTATTTTACTAGATTATGAACATTGAACCACTTGCTTACAAACCTGTACACTTCCTTCCTCATCATCGTGAATTTCCGAGGTTGACTTCTCAGAACCTTCGTCACCCTCATCATCAGAGCTATCCTGCCGATTTTCGGACAAAACGGATAAATTTTATAAAATTACAAGTCCCAGCAGTTAATATTCACACGTGAAGAGAGAAAACACACAAAAGTAAAAATAAAAGAAAATTACATCAAGCTATATGTGTTCACCTGCTTTTTGTTGTAGGCATTCATGAGTTTTTCATATTCAGCCTTCTTCTTTGCTGCTTTAGCTTCATACGGAGCCTTTTCCTGCGAATAACACGACATTTTTTGCCAAACAACAGCAAATGTAAATGACCTAGGCATATTTTTTTAGTGCATTGTCACATTCATACACTTGATATTTCTCAAATTTTTATGAAAATTCGATTCGATAACAAAATTTCACCAAAGGTAAATACTCGACATGTATAGCACTTACAGCTGCACTCAATGATTTCCACTTCTCTCCTCCAGCTTTTCCAACCTAAAGTTACCGCATAGGTAAAAAAAACCAGGAAGAATAAACTCGAACTAACTATCACAAATTAATAGCATTCTACGATTTCATACAGCTGAGACAGCCTTGACATTCGGGTTTTCTTTCTTGAAAGTCTTCCTGAACTCCTCCCTACAACAACATAAAATTTCAGACCAACCGCAAAACGTAAGGCTATATTTAGTAAAACTAGCTTATCAGCTAGCTTATAAGTGATTTTCGAGCTTATAGCTTACTACTTATAGTTAAAAAAGCTAGCTTACACGATAAAAGTGTTTGGTAATATTAGTTGATAAGCTAGCTGAAATAAAAATTTCAACGAGCTTATTTGAAAAACTAAACAAAAGAAGCTTATGAGATAAGTCTCATAAGCTCGAGGTTTTTAAAAAACTAATTTATTTGAATACAGTAAGCTTATAAGCTAACCAAATAACCAAATAAGCTAGCTTATTTGGTTACCAAACATAGCCTACAGCTTGGATACTCGATATCTTGAAAACAGAGAATAAAATAAGTTCGTACAAGAACACAAAGAAAGCACTCGGGGGCCTTTTGGGTTTGTTCGGGTCTTTCTTGCCCTTAGTTTCCTTCTTAGCCTTCTTCTTCTCTGTCTTAGGAGGGGCAGCTTTCCTTTTCCCAACCTTACTGAACAAGAACAAGAATATGCATATTCATCAATAAATGTACCATAGAAAACAAATGATCGTTGACTAAAGTGGATAAATCCCGATAAGTATCTCATCCGATAGAATTAGAAACAAAATGTTTATTGATTAAAGTACATAAAGACCGACCGGTCATCGACAGGCTTCAATGCTTCTTTAGTTTCCTTTTTCGTGGCCGCTCGACTCTTGCTCCCAGTCTTCTTCATATCTGCAAACCGAAAACTTGTAGATTATTACACAATTCGTGAAAAAAAATTACATGGTGATTAAAAAAAAATAATAATAAAAAAAAAAAAATCATGAGATAAAACTATCACTAAACAAGGTAAGACATGAATCAAAACTAAAAAATCCATACTTTTATAAGTACAAAATGAATAATTAAGTCTGCAGATGCATTTTAACTCTACTTAATCACCAAAAAAAAATGGGGAAAAAAAATAAAGATAAATCAGAAAAAAAAAAATATCACCTCACCAAACTAAATTAATTCACCCATATGTCTAAAAATTGTCAAGAATTATATGGTCAGAGCAAGAGAAATTAAAAGATCACAGAATTCTTTAATTACTGAACACAGAAAACACATAGCAAACAAATATCACAACAAAATATACACAACACAGCAAAAATTAACCAACTAAAATTTGAGCAAAAAGCTGCAAAATAATTTACAAAAAACAAAAAAAAAATTTAAATAATAATAACTCTACAATTATAAAATTCTACTAGTAAATTTCATGAACACTTAATTTTCATGAAAAAAAAAAATAATAGCACGAAAATTGAAAATAATAAAGAAGATAAACTTTACCTAAGAAGATAACAAGCGATCGGTGATCAGTCGATCGGAGGAGTACAGAGAGAATTAAAGAAAGAAAGGGAATAGTATGCTGAAAGCAGTGAATGAGAAAGGACGCGTACTCTCCACCGGCTACCGGTACAACCGGTAAAGGGTCAGCTCAACAAAAATAGTGCACATACATTGACTCAATAAAAATAGTGCACACATACATAACATCATTTATTATTTTATATATTAAACTAAAAATAAAAATAAAAAAATGAAGGGGCACTCAATTAATAGTAGAAAATTTATTGGGGGCATGATGATTGTATCATTGAATTAGACTTAAAAATGTGTTGTTTATTTTTTTGAGAATAATTTGAGGATACCATTAGATTGTGACATTAGGGGAAAAAAAATATAAACATTCATGATTTTATAATCATACTTGGGGTGGGTTTGGTTGCTAAGGGGGTGATTGTGCATGATATAATATTCTTGATAACATCAAAGGCTATCCATAAAATCACTTATTCCATTAATTTGTTTGGTTAATGTTTGGTAAGTATACTTTTAGGTTGAAACTACTTTTCTACCCTTCATTCAAAATTTAATTTTCAAAATTTGCCCTCAACACAATAACATAATTATTGTTTCATTGGATTCATCTACCCTCATCATCTTCGTCGCACCCTGTCGCCGACCGTTAATAAAATAAATGATGTTTAGATCTTTTGTACATATTTTTCCATAATTACCCTCATTTAACTAATAAATACACTATGTCTTTTCGTATTAACTCTTAATGTTTCTCAAAACATTTATCTCTATCTTCATTAAAGAGGGTTACTATTGGAAAAAAAATAAGATCATTAATAATTATGCAACTTTTCAAAACTACACTTGTTGTGAATATAATGAGTATTTTTTCTTAGGGGAAAAAAGTATACATTTACTACACAAATATCTATGTGTATGCATTGTTAAATAAAATAATATGTGAAGAGTTAATTAATATATGTCAATTAATTTTGACGGTGGACAAGTAACTCACATGAAGAGATTATCATAAATGAATCTCGTCTCGACTCGAGCTCGAGACCTTAACGAGCCGAGCTCGAACTTATTAAAGCTCGTTTAGTTAACGAGCCAAGCTCCTCTCAGCTCGGTAAGACTCGTTAAGGGTGTGATTGAAAACAAACTTAACAAAGAATAAAAAAACAATCAAAACTCAAACATAACTCAACTTTAACTCAATCTCACTATCACATTATTATCAATATAATTAAATAATATCAAACAACCATTCTTATACACCAATCAATTTTAATTCACTATTCAACCACACATAATTTTAACTATCACTACACATCAATTATCTCATATTTTTACATCAAATCAACTTGAATTGTTTTAGTTTATACATTAATTTCAATTTAAATTTAAACTTCCACTAACAACTAATCATACTATATTTTTCAAAATTAACTATGATTAACAAAAAAAACTAATCATAAACCAATCAAATCCATTTTCAATCACACCCAGCCATAAGACTCATAAAAAGAAATTTTTTAATATAATTTTCTATAG